ACAGGAGCACAAGGAAAAAATGTTTGAATGAACAAGACCCGAGTATCGTGTACAATATTTAGTGAGTCACTCAGTTGTCATTCCTTCCCAATGGCGTCATAACATACCGGGCCTCAATGTGCAGCCATTCCCCCCCACTGATGTGCTGTTCCTTGCAAGCTTTGAATAATCTGAACGCTCCTTAAATAGCGAGCGAAATTGATCTGATTTGGAGACATGTCAAGCATAATATCGAGGCAGGATGGAGGAGGAGGTCTGCCGAGAAACAGTCTGAGCATGCTCTGCTCCAACTTCCCACTTGACAAGAAAGGCCAGCGGTGTAGTAACGCTCTCTGAATGCGTAACATTTTGGGGGTACTGTAACGTCAGGCTTTCGTGCATGTGTGTCTGAGTGAAAGGTTGGAGGCTGACTGGGACAGTACTCTGTGTGCCTGTGTGTTGGTCTGCATATTCAAATGTTTACAGCTAGATGTTGATGTTCCCTGTGTGTGACTGGCATTCCTCCCTTTACTTTGCTGATGTTTACAGCTACTGAGAAGCTATGTGGCATATTGTACACATTACACATGTACCTCTTTTGGTTTGCCTCTCTATTTTGTTTTTTTTGGGTTTTTTTAGATGAGCCTGATTTTTCAAATGTTGTTTTCCTTGTGAAAGCCTCAAGAGTGACGAGCGTCTCAATGTGTGCCACTTTTTGATCTATGCTGCTGTTCCTGCTAGCGTAGGTCAGACTGCTCGAAGCCGAACCGGAAATGTGAGCGACTTGGACCCCAAAATAGACTGTGGTCCCATTGTAGAGCGTTTCAAGGGGCTTATTTGCTTAATTGTTCATATTTAACAAAATTTGTTTCATATTCCAATCATGTGAGATGTTACTCACTCTTCAGAATGCCATGAGGTGATTTATGAAAAGACTACTCCAAAAGAAATACATGCATAAACAAAGCTACTGTAAACACATGGTGGAATAAATTGTGCTAGATGACATTCTGCTTTGATTTACATGAACAACTTTTCATTAAATGTCTGAATCATGTGCACGCTGAAATCTTTACATCTGCAATATGATCAGAAAATGGACATGTGACCCAAGTGGAAGGAAAACAGAAGTGATGAGAGAGGATTTATAAAACAGCTGGCATGACATAAGGGTTTTTAACATTATGAATGGCCATGCAAGTGTATAAATAAGTGTACAGTACAACATATCGAACAGCAAATGATGCATGAAAGACACGGGTGACAAAACTTGCACCGCATTTGCCTGGGAGGTAAGTCTCTTACATACAGCATATGCTGACATAAATGAATGATTCTGGACATATTTGAGGGTATTTCAAGTCAAGTCAAGTACAACTTTATTGACAAATGTGCTGTACTGTATGTACAACATATAGCACAGATGAAATTTCTTCAACATGCAACAAGAGGAGCCGCTGCAGGTGCTCGCGCCGCCATCAAAAGAAAAGTTAACACAAAATGACAAAAAATAATTCAAGACAACACAAAAGACACAGACAATTGTGCAATCTGAACAGAGGCGATTGCTCTAAGACTGCAAGGGAAGCTCAGCTTCCCCTAAAATGTCAAAAAGTAAGTGATCAAATATATGTGTGTACCAGTGGCGGATGCTGGTCTGTCAAGGAGGGCAAGCTCAATTTCGGCCTACATCATAAAATGTGTCCGTTTATTTATACAGTACGTGAATTCTACTCTCCGTTCCTTTTCAAGAAAATGATCTGTGACCCTGTCATACCAGCGAGGCTTCTTTTCCAGAGACTTAACTCGCGTCCTATAACTACAGCAACTGCAATAAAACCCACCAGAAATAAAAGATTAATTTGTCGCTAGTCGTTTTCAACAAAGAGAGTGTCGCTAGAATGATTAGAAGAAGTCTCCAGTTCAACTCAGAACAGAATGAGAATTGAAAAATGCTCCCGCGGATGCCTCCACCAAAAGATCAGTGATTGGCTCATTTCGCTGTACATCTAAAAGAGATTCAGCCTCAGACAGATCATCCAATCATCATGCAGAAAAGCTCGGCATCTGGGCCAGCGCATAAATGCCCACTGTCAATAGACTCCCAGAGCTGAGCGTCCGATGGGTGGGACAAAACCAGCATTTATCCAATGACTCGTCTCGTTTGAATGCATAAATATATATATATATATATATTTGAGAGAGAGAGAGATCTACAGTATATATTTTTTGGGGGGTGGGGGGGGGAACTCATCTTATTATGAATAAAGTGAGTTGGGGCAGCCCGGTGGTCCAGTGGTTAGCATGTCGACCTCACAGTGCAGAGGTACCGGGTTCAGTTCCAGCTCCGGCCTCCGTGTGTGGAGTTTGCATGTTCCGGGTCTGCGTGGGTTTTCTCCAGGTACTCCGGTTTCCTCCCACATTCCAAAAACATGGATGGCAGGCTGACTGAACACTCTAAATTGTCCAAAAATGAGTGCAGATAGTTGTTCGTCTGTGTGTGCCCTGCGATTGGCTGGCAACCGGTTCAGGGTGGCCCCCGCCTACTGCCGGAAGACAGCTGGATGGATGGATGGATGGATGGATGGATATAAATACAAATTGCTGCCTCAAAGATTAGCGATTATGGACACTCGGGATGGCACTGAAAATGGGAATCCTTTATCAACTGCCCTACCAAGGTGAAGAGTAAATAAATATAAAGATGAGTATATTGTAGCCTCATTTTTGCCAGGTGGCTGTCATTGCATTGTGTATTCACAAGAATTCCAACCTGCCTTTATTTGAATGCACGATCCACTGTGATTCTGGCTGTGGTTGTCTTATTTGTAGCTTCGCTTTGTTTTTTGTTACTGCCTCCTGCTGGACAAGAAGGGTAGTGCCGTTTGCTCTCCCCCTATTCTCAACGTCATTAGAGTAATTTGGATAAATTACCTGAACTATGGTTCTTACGTGTGAACGAAAACTGGACGGGCCACACATGGTTCTTCCGACCAGGAACTCCAGCCACTCGAAACTCCCGCACGAGGAACTCAAAGACATTCGGCTTTTTGGTCTGAAAGTATTGTCACGTGGGCTTTGCTCAGTATTTTTACCTGTTGGTGGGAATCCAAAGAACTGAATTTGAAGTAAGATGATGTCATGATTTGACTGAGGATAGACCGATTATCGACACCAATATTTAAATATTAGACATTTTGTAAAAACTTATTTTATTGGGAGATTTCTTTTTTAAGTTTTCAATGTACATTCTGCATGAGACGTACTGCTGTGCCTGGGAGCTCCCTGCACTTTTTGTTGGAGTTTGAAAAAATATATATCTATTGTCTGAAGAAAAAAAAAACTTTAACATGTTGCAAATCTGAAGTGTTGGCATTCATCCTTTTTTAAATTTCAACCGATTTTTTTTCCTTTTACCATGGACAAATATCAGCTCCAAATACTCCAAAGAAATAACTCCAAAACTACTACATTGGACCAGGGTGGCATGTATGGCTGTCAAAAGTAGAATATTTTTACATTTTTAAATCACTCTTGGAATCATTATTCATTTTGATCCATATGTGTAAACTTGATACTGTATTTTAAAATAGTGCGACCCGCCCCAGAACTTTGCTTTGCTGATTGGTCAAATGCTGTAGCCTGCAGTGACGTCCTGTGTGACACGTTGTGATCCTCACTGATTGACTGGCTGGGTGAGAATTTTTTTTTTTTTAATAATCTCTGAGGCGCCAGTTTTGCACAACTGACCAAATGTGGCAAATTGCCAATTTCTTCTTTGGTTAAGTGAAGACTCTACTTGTCCTTTGATGTGAATACTGTAGTTTTCTCTTGTGCACTGCTGCGATATGCTGGTCTTGTCCATGGTCCCGCCCCGCTCCTTGCCCAATCAACTGGGATTGGCTCAGCTCACGTCACTTAAAATACGCACGCGCAAACCTTTCCTTGCTTGCAGGGGGCGTAGACACGCCGTTACCTAGCGACCATCGACATGTACTTGATGCCGGAGAGTAAACGCTTTCCCCTGTATAACTTCAAGGTTGGACTCGTGGACGCTTTAATGTTGCCTCCAAAGGCTGTCGTTCAAGGATCCATGGCCTCGCAGCTGCAGGAGGTGGAACGTCGTTCTGATAACAGCGACATGGATGAAGGCGCCCAGCCGTTGCCGGAGCTCCAAACCCCTCCCGGCCAAGGCGTCTTGGACACCGAGACGAGACGTCTCATCGGCCGCTTCCTCCGTGACTTTACCGGGCTGTCCACTGCTGCTTGGATCCAAAGCAAAGCCCAGTCGACAATGAAGAGGGTCGTGACGAGACTGGTGGACAAGCACAGGATCTTATTCAATAGTAAGCTGAAATGCTTTCATTACTGTTCTTCGATTGACTTTTTTGTACTGTAACGGTTGCTCTTTGATGTTCTTTGATCCCTTTTAAAAGTTAGGCTGCCAGTATGTCGGTTTTTAAACAGTTTATTTTGCCTATTTAGTCTAAAAAAGTAGAATATTGTTCTTTTACTGCATACACGAACATGAGTTGTTACCATTAGCATAAAATCTGAATTTATGTGTATTTTATAACTCTACAATTTCCAGTGTGTTGGCACATTGCTCAGATTTAAAGCAGTCTCAAAAATGGCATTTCAGTCTTGTCATTTCCACCTTTTATCTTTTTTTTGCTAATAATGCAGTCTTTCGACAGCCACTAGAGCAGGTCTTGGCAAACCAAAATGTTGGAAAGCCATATTGGACAAAAAAAAACCCCAAAAAACAAATACTGTATGTCTGGAGCTAGAAAAAAAAGCCTGATATAACCCTTTTAATGGAGGAAACACATGCTGTGTATCTATATGAGACTACTATCAAAATAACTCAGTTGGCTCCAAATACACAATGAGCCTTCATGATTAAATGGGTTTTTCCCCACCCCGCACTGCATCGGATGCACTGCATCCTGTAGAGCAGGGGTGCCCAACCTTATTTTTTGACTGAGACCACATGAAACGCGTTTTTTTTTTTTTTTTTG